CGATCTTCGACGCAATCTCACTTCTTCCATTCCATCTATTGCTGCTAACGTCTTAGCAGACCAAACTTGTTTTCTTCTCTATTGCCGAAAACGTTAAACCAAATGGCATTCTGCAGCGCATGGAGTGAAACTTGCAACTTCATAACCCATATTTGACTAGAATACCAAGACGGCTAAATTTGTGAACCACGATGGAATCTAACTCAATAACAAGCAGCGACACAATCAATTAGACTGTCATAAAGCTTTAGACGGTTATATGCTATATCGATTTTCAGCCAAATAAATGATCCGCTCAACTGGGCACAGGGTCCCAATGGATTGTGGTTTTCACACACCACCCGGGTGCCTTGTGGGTCAGGCTTTGGCTAACCGAAGGCTCCGGTTGTGGATTCTTCAAGAAAATTCACCTGCCCTGGCCTGGGCAGTATTCAGCCCACATGCAAATCGCAGAAGGTTTTTTCTTTTTATAACGATTATTGAACCATGATTTGTTTGGCACACAGTCTGGCCTCGGAAATGTGTAAAATATAATATAATATAACATATATGGCTAAATAACCAAGAGAGTAAATGTGTAAATGTGAAGAGCGCTTAAAACTTTATTAATCCAGGTAGAACGGCGGCGAAGGTACGTCAAAAAGTTTAGATTAGACGGTCAGCGACAGAAGCATTTCGCCCATGATTAACATCAAATACAAAACGCGACAGAATCATGAACAACGGAATGAGGATAGGTGAGCGGCACCAGAAAGAACACATGGAAGGCTACAAGTAGACATAGACACAAATTTCCGCTTCACTTCACCAAACACCATCCAGGTGGATGAACCTGAAGGTGAGTGGAGCACAGGGGCAGTGAGAGAGACACCAAAATGAACCCACCTTAGCATTTTCAATACATGGACAAATGGCCCATGCCGCGCTGGATTGAACCTCATGATTCGGGTTTTTAAGCAGAGACCATAACAGTCGTACACCGTCGAGATTCTCAATGATACTGGAAAATAAAATTTTGGAGAAAATAGTAGTGGGACGATTCATTGCAAAGTGTTTAGGTATCGGAGGAATTATGCAGTTGATCGGCTTTTCACAAGTCATATAGCCTAATAAAACGTAGATAACGAACTGTTTGTGACATCAGTTAAAACAAGAAGCCTACAAAAGATTTTTCTAATCATTTCGGTGTGTATTGTTAAATGCTGATCAGTGAGGATCTCGTTAATTTGTGCAATAGAAATAAAATGTAGCTGACTTGATATTACTGTTTTCTTGTTCTGTAAATCGTTCTTTGAACCTCTGCCCCCTTGTTTTGGTACATGGAAGCACTTGTTAGTTCAATATCGTTGATGCAACAACCTACACTGGTTAGAGCCGACACTGATGGTTCGAGATACGGAGTGATATGGCTGGTTGTCGCAAACAGTGGCGCTCATGTATCTACTCATTATTCTCCTAACACCAGTCTGTATCAAATTCTCTATCTTCCGCTTGAATTTGCTTTCATCATTCCAATCCTCATTCTGCTCTTTTATTCAAATGGGTGATCAATAGACAGTAACCAAAAAACCGGCGGACGAAAACGCCTGGTTACTGGTTGTTAAAACAGGAACTTGAAACTGATACGACAACCTTCATAGTTGGTTGTTGGAATGAAATAAATCAAAAAAGAAGATAAATGTTCTAGCGTTTCATTAGCTGTCCTGCACGAATAACTACTTTATTCAATAAAACCAGTAAAATGTTCGTTTAAATTCCTTGGCTTATTTTTTTTTCTTTGCAGCATCTTTACGTTTCAACCATTAATAAGCTGATCACCGTTTACCCTTGGGTCTCGTATTCACCGGCGCTGGTACATCGCTTTTCAGTTCTCGTGCTCGAAGAATTTCCATAAAAATGGAATCTGTTTATGCAAATAAAATTTGTGTGGCTCAAGCATTACACCGGTCGTTTCACATTAAATTCTAATGAAACATTCATGACAAGTTAAAGTGGCCAATCGCCCAGTAAGCGAGTTTTTCAGCGACCTTTTGAGATTAATCAA